GAATGAAAACTGAATTTTTATTATTTTTTATTATTATTTTATTTTAGTATTATGACTCTGTAAGCCGCCCAGAGTGGTCATAACGACCAGATAGGCGGGATGTAAATAGAATAAATAAATAAGTTACACAAAACGAGCCCAAATGAATGTGCATCTACATTGGAATGTCTTATATGCCAAATTCACATCTCTTTTAAAATAACAAATATATGCTCTCAGGCTTATTCTGACATAGGTTGATGGATCCCAGGATTTTCTAGGTATAAAGTACGTATGCGGAAGTGGTTAACCAGTCTTTTCTTCTGGTGGCCCCCTGGAACTGTGCAGCTTGCCCAAGGCCACACAGGCTGGCTCTTCTCCCAGGAGGCACCTTGGGAATTCGAATGCCTGACCCTTACAGCCTCTTGCTCTAAGCCTCTGGGGTATCCAGACAGCTAAAGTTCTTAAATTACAAGATAATTTGTGTCTTGATATAATCCATGCCTTCGTGTAAATCCTGACTCTTAATAATGTATATCCTCAGAAATAAACCTATTTAGTTGCACAGTACAGAAGAGCTCAGAACTAACATGTTGATTTAATGCATTAGTATTAAATCTGGAGAAAATAACATTTTAAAAGTAACATATTAGCAGCAAAATAATTACCTTTAAAACATTGGCCAAAATGCTGTTGCTTAGCATAGAAAATCGGACTAAACTAGGCCCATTGAACCAATGGGGATTTAGTAAGTCAAGTCTTCTGTAAGTTTCATTGATTCAGATGGTCTTACTCTAGCTGCTGCTTACTATGCTAAAGTACATTGCAGCTAAAGGAGGCCCATTTGAATTAATGGAATTTTCAAAGGAGTTGACTTACCCATTGATACAGTTGGCCTACTCTCATGTGATTTACTACACTAAGCAATAGTATCTTTGGCCATTATTTTGTAGATGCAATATTAGATTTGCCTTCCTGTTTAGCACGAAAGGAAAGCAACAGTTTTAACAATAATATGGTGTATTAACACATTATTTCTAAGTTTCACATTGGACATAAACTTGCTCAATATATTTAGAGTTCAAGCCAGGTGCATAATTTTGGGGAGTGTTTGCTCTTTGTCGTAAGCCAACTCCAAAGGCTTTGAAATCATTGGTGGATGTCGAGTATGATATATTTTGTAAAGTCAACTTAATTTAAATACAAATCTTATGAAATGGTCAAGGCCTTGATTAGTAGGTTAATTTATGTATCTTCATGATGTTTTTGGCTTTGTAATGTAGTTTATGAAAGTAGTCCTGTCTGAAATTCTGATCCTGCTTCTAACTTTACTTATTTATATTTCTTTATTAAGAAGGAAGTAGCAGAAAGTTGCAATTTATAAATCCTTATGGTTGATTAAAAAAACAGCTGAAGTACAGCAAAAAAGCAATAGATCAGAACAGCTGGAGGGACAGTATGTGCACCGTAGTACTGCCATATGATACAATTTGCAGCATTTGGAACTGTGTGCTCAGCGGAGAATGAGATTATGCAGTTTGGAATGGGAATACTCCAATGTTCCTCCTGTAAGTTTACCTTAAATATTGCCAAGGAGTAAATAAATAGTCAATTAAAAATACAACTGTTATGTATTGGTTAGTGTGTAGGATAAAGAGAAAAGTGAAATCATTCTGTTCCACAAGGGAAATGTTTTTGAATAGTTGTATTATTAGATGAATGACATAATTCTCTTTAAAATGGTGTTCAGAATGTTTAAAAAACTGTTTTAATCCTTTTGGGTGTGTGAAGGTAACCATGCTGAGCATTTTCAAAATCATATTAAAGATCTTATAGATCAGGCATCCCCAACCCCTGATCCATGGCCCCCCCGGACACATGGTGGATGTGTCACACTTGTGGGTGGGTGTGTCATGGTGACACGCCTCTCTGCAAGTGTGACATGACTACCCGCTAGCATGGCATGCCCACCCGCAAGGGGTGAGGATACCCCCACCCCCAGCGCATGGAGCCTGCACCCCCCAACTGGTCCGTGGTTCCAAAAAGGTTGGGGACCACTGTTATAGATGGTAATTTTATGACCTACAGTGAATTTTGTCAAAAAAGCAACATTATTTGCTTTACAGTAAGGCAGTTCAGGAAAACATTTTTATGAAGTAGGGAGCAGTATTTGAAATGTAGTGGATTTTTTTTCTTTTTAAAGTTTGAAAGTATTTCATTTTACTGTTTTCAGTCCAATGTTCTGTGGTTGTAAATTAAGCTATTCAATTATAAGAAAGAGAGTGTAGGGGGAAAAAGTTGTCCCATGAAAGGTACAGTGGTGTCCTGCTTGACGACGATAATGCGTTCCGTTAAAATCGCTGTTAAGCAAAATCGTCGTCAAGCAAAAAAAAACCACCTCCATTGGAATGCATTGAAAACCGGTCAGTGCGTTCCAATGGGGGAAATACCTGATTGTCCAGCAAAGACCCTCCATAGGGCGGCCATTTTGGGATCCCTGACTTGCGAACAATCAGTCTGGAAAACAGCGGGGAGCCATTTTGCGAGCTGCCGATCAGCTGTTTCTAATCATCGTCTAGCGAAAAAACGGTTCCCGAAGCAGGGAAATATTCATTGTAAAGTGAAAAAAACCCCATAGAAACATATAGCGATCACAAAAAGTCATTGTAAAGCAGTTTCGTCATCAAGCGGGGTCATTGTCAAGCGGGGCACCACTGTAATTATTTGAACAGGGGCATAAATATGAATGCAATTGAAAATCAGTCGCTGAAATTGTGTTCCATAAGTTACTCTGCTTAAGGCTGGTGATGTCATCAGCCATGGCAATTTTTTAGAAACAAACAATTTCTGATCCCATGCCCCACTGGTTCTGTGACTTCCATGGATTTTTCTTCATCATAAAGAAGCTGTGGGTGGCTGGGTCACAGGATGCGGGGGAAGCATTAAATTTCCAAAATTCACTGCTGATGGCAAAGGCATCCCAGTGGCATTGAGTCTTAGAAATTAAATGCTTCCTCACTGTCTTGTGGGCTCTGACAGCTTCCTCGTGATAAAAAGAAATCCAGTGAGAGCCTCTAGACCACTGGTTCTTAACCTTGGGTTACTCAGAAGTTTTGGACTGCAACTCCCAGAAGCCTTCACCACCAGCTGTCCTGACTGGGGTTTCTGGGAGTTGCAGTTCAAAAGCATCCGAGTAACAAAGGTTAAGAACGACTGCTCTAGACCACTGGTTCTTAACCTTGGGTTACTCAGGAGTTTTGGACTGCAACTCCCAGAAGCCTTCACCACCAACTGTGCTGGCTGGGGTTTCTGGGAGTTGCAGTTCAAAAACATCCGAGTAACAAAGGTTAAGAACCACTGCTCTAGACCTTTAGCAGGAGGGAAATGTTTGTTTCCCAAAAAATTGCTGCAGCTGATGACATCCTGAACCTTATGAAGGATAGCTGCACAAGTAGTATTTCAGCCACCGAGGGACAATAAGACAGTTGTTCTGTCTGCTTTTTTTTAGGGGGGGGGAGATGGATTTGTGCAATATTGATAATAATTCAACATTTTTGAACTATCTTTTGATTCATTTTATTTCTCATTTTATAATTGTAATACTGCCATATTGTGAATTGCTAAGAAAGATTTTGATTGATCCATCAATCGATTGATTTTCTACTCTGTGTTTCTCTCTGTATAGGGACTCAAGGTGACTTACAAAGGATGCAAAAAGAGAAATATTAAAAACAATTGCACATTTTAAAACCACATGATTAGAAGCAAGTAAGCGTATCAGTTATTGAAGAGTACCAGCTAAAATCCTAGTAAAACACATTAAAAACATCTTTTAAATCAATAAAAGAACAACTGTCCCTTCCTTGGCAGTAGTTTACATATTGAAAGTCTGACTGCTGGTGGAAGAATAGAAGGGAGGTGACCAGCCTGGTCTCTTGTGGAAGACAGTTCCATAGCCAGTGGAAAGGCCCTCTGCAGTGTTTGCACCAAGCATGCCTGTGAAGGTGGTGCAGCCTTTTTATCTCCAATTCAATAATAAGAATCCCATGTGTTAACAGCAACCTTTTTCTCCAGCTATCCATACATGTGTAGCCCAGTATGTTTTTGTTCATGTGGCTGATAGTGAAGTCTTTTGACTCCAGTGTTGTGGGGATGATGAATATGTTCTGAGTTTTGGTCTGAACGTTCAAGAGCATTGCCCGAGGTGCTGAACCTGACTTCTGGTTAAGGTCTCTGCTGTATGTAATTTTCCTACTGAATGTAACTTTGGCTTTCGTTTAGGTGATGTTAGGCAGTTACCTAGTATTGAGCCTGGCAACATGTTGGCTGATATTTTTGAGAGTGTGAAATCGAGAGGTTGGTGCATAGAACTGAAAACAAATCACAGAGCTGAGTCACAGTTGATTGTGGATAATGCGACAAGGTAAGGACTTTTTAATAAAATAAATCCGTTTCTCAAAACTCATTCTGCTTCTATGAGCTGAATCACATCAGCTGCCCATTATACTTCCTGCTTGGACATATACAGGGGCATAGATAATTTGCTCATCATTTCCTTGCTATATTTGTAATCAAGAGCATTTAAATAAAAATAATCTGTGTATTTGTGTATGTGTTGTGAGCGACATATAAGAAATCTGGGAGTGTTAAAACACTCTGATACAGTCAGGCAGGTGAGATTGACCATACGCAGACTCAAGAGAGAGAACAAGCGCTGTTTATTTTGAGTGGCCATTCGGGTCCTCCAGACATGCGGGACCTTGACCCAAAAGTACAAAGAGCTTTTATGCCTTCTAACCACAAGAAAATAAAGGTACAGAAAAATCCTCATTGGCTGACAAGTAGAGCAAGGGGCTTATTCAGTATACATTTTATAGGGTAGAACAGCAAAGGGGCGTATGTTTTCTAACTATATAGGCAGTTCTCCCCCTTTGGGTACTCTAACTTGTCTGCAAGCTGTTCTGTGGTTACATTTCAATAGGAAATTAGGTAGACAGGATATTCGTGGCCGGCTGATGTACCACAGCCTAGCTTCAAAGTGGAGCATGCAGGTGCATCTGTGACAGAGTCTAGTGACACCAAGTTCAAAGCTTTTCTATGCTTTAAACTAGCAAACAAGAAGAGTAAAGGTCTGGGGGCAGGGCTGTGGAAGCATCCTTTAATAAACTCAGACATTCAAGTTCACAATGTCTTTGTGTAAAAGCAACATTTTTTTTTCACTTACAGCTTGTTCAACATTTCATCCCCCATTCAGAAGAAACTTCTGAAACTTAGTTCTGTTGCGAATGCATGGCATGGTAACCATATATAGTACCTTATAAGAGGAGAAGGGTATCTGGATAATTTCATGCGTGATATTTAAATATGAAACTTTACTTGACAATGATGTAATCAGATAGCGGTACAAGCACATTTCTCTGTTTGTATGAGAGACATTTCTGGTTTTGTTTGTTTGTTTTGAATGCAGGATCTTTCAGCGGAGGTATCCAGAGTTTGATGAAGTCTTGAGAATTTCTGAAGAGAGTAAAATATGGCCAGTTGCAAGCTCTGAGAAAAAATTTATTTTGATTCTTTTGCCTCCTGGAGATGGCAGTAACTGTAAGTTTTGAACTTTTAAGTGATTAGCTTTAAGCACCACGTAGCTTGCTTACGTGGTATGAATTCTGTTTCACCTTCAGATTTTCCCCCTTGGATAGGGTTGGTGGGAGCTGCAGGACAACCTCTGGAGAGCCAGGAACAGGCAACCTTTTTGTCCCTAAGGACCACAGGCAGCAGTGGGTGCTATAGAGCAGGCCTGGAATCAGCAGGGGGCTTGGTCTTGTTGCTCATGCACGTTCACATTCACCCTTTCGCTGTCATTCACAGGGAGAGTCTTGCCTTTTCAGGGACCATCCTTGCAGGAACGGAGAATGAAAGCTGGGGGGGAACACAGTCTGCCTGGGGAGAAAAGTGTGCAGGAGTGACCATTTTTTACTTTTCCCAACCTACCCCCTTTGGGAACTGCATGCTCCTTTCAGTGTTGTCTGTCCTGGGAAGGAAGGTGATAGATAGGGAGCACTGTCGCTGGATAGCTTGTTCCCCTTCACAGTTGTGCAGACTTTGCACAGCCCTCCCTCTCTCCCTCCCCCTCCCTCCCCCCTCTCTCTCTGTGTATGTATGCACGAATGTAGAGCTTCATGTGGATCTTCACTTGAATCATACGGAAGGCCTGCAAATACTGCAGGTTATCCACATGTGTACTTGACCATTATAAAACTCATCTCATCAATTCCAAATTGCTGTTATGCATTATAGGCAGTTCCTCCCCTTTGGACAAGGACGAGATGGATGGACAGTGTCATTGAAGCTACCAACATGAATTTGACCAAACTCTGGGAGGCAGTGGAAGACAAGAGGGCCTGGCGTGCTCTGGTACATGGGGTCACGAAGAGTCGGGCATGACTTAACAACTAAACAACAACAAATTATGCGTTATAGAAAGTGACAATAAGTAAATAACACATTTGAAGTAGATTGTTGGGTGTGTTTTTTATTTATTAGCCATATATTCTGTAATTAATTTTTGTCCTTTTTGTTTTGTAATTAGATTTACAAAGTGCCATAACGGCTTTGCTTGAAAAAGGGCCAGGATTGAAAAATCCTAGACAATCACAGTTCATTACTTTCAGAAGGTAATAGTTCTGTGTACAGACCTGGAAGATCTTTTATTGACCGACTATTAAAATGTCTAGAGTTGGTGGAGAAATCATGTTGCTTGTTTTTTAATTTTGGGGAAGGACCTTGGGGCTGGCTACAGCGCGGCTACCGTGTTTCCCCAAAAATAAGACAGGGTCTTATATTAATTTTTGCTCCAAAAATGCATTAGGGTTTATTTTTAGGGGATGTTTTATTTTTTTCATTTACAACCATCTATGTTTGTTCAAATACAGTCATGTCATCTTCTTCTGGTTGCCGAACAAGGGTGGAGGGCGGGGTTTCACTTAACTAGGGCTTATTTCTGGGGTAGGGCTTATATTACGAGCATCCTGAAAAATCAGACTAGGGCTTATTTTCAGGTTAGGTCTTATTTTAAGGGAAACAGGGTAATTTGATCTTTATATGTGGGGATCCCACCATTTACCTTTGCAGACACGATAAATAATAATGACTGAGGGTTGAAGTGTAGTTGATATTCTCAAAGAATGGGGTGCCATGGCAGGAGAATGTGCATTCCGAACTCTTACAGTAGTTACGGAAAGAGCAGCCACCCACTTGGATGAGGAGGCGGGGCAGGGAAGCCTGCAGCACTGCTTTTACATGTGTGACTGCTGGAGGAAGGAAGTGTGCGCTCTAATTGGTGCGTGGGCAGTCGGGCTGAGGAGGTGGGGAGTGAAGCTTGCTTCTGGGTTATTGGAGAGCATGCAGAGGAGGTGGGACAAAGGAGTGTGTGTCATCCGCAGAACATCTGTGTGGGTGCTGCATCAAACTGGGCCAAACCACTGAATTGCCCACTCCTGGCCATCTCTAGTCATGACCTCTAGTATTAGTAATGACAGCTGTTGGTATGTTCCCTGTAACATTTCTCTCAGAAACACAGGGCTAGAAAGCAAATTGCTTCTAGCCCTTATAGAATATAACATGGTAAATATCCTTAACTTCAGCTTTTAGTGGCTCTGTTCACAGTCTTCATGTTTTCCTGCCTTGAACCGAGACAGCTCTAGAAATGATATACTGAGATAGAGCAAGCCCTTGCTTTTTCAGCGGTTAAAGACCAAAGGTATAGCATCTTTGGCTTCCATTGTTCTGAAAGCCTTGCATATAATGGTTAAACTAAAGGTGTTTTTTCTTTTCTTTTCTCAGAAAAGAATGTGACATCATAAATGAGATCTGCTGTAGGCACTATTCACACCATCCAATGCGGTATGACATCATTTGAGGAGCTCTGAGTGTGCCCCGTTCATTGTTATCATTGTTTGTACTGTAAATTAGCCGAACAATTGGTAATGTTTTAAATGCGATAAAGAGAAATGTTTTGATTTCTTAATTTAAAGTGCAACTTACTTGTTTGTCTTTGTACCAAAGTTGCAAGCAAGGAAACTAGTTTCTTGATTCTGGAAGAAAATTGTGGGATGCTAGCTTTTAACCTTCTGGCCCTTATTCATTATGAATTTTGTGTAGAGGCAACGTTCCGCTATTACGGATCTTTTAGGAACAGTGTAAATGAGGTTCCTTTAGAAACTCAGACGGAGTTCAGTTTTGTGGAGTCAGACAGCTAAATCAAATTTGGTTGGAAAATTCAAAACTTAACAACAGGAAAACCCATTGTGAGGGTTGCAGGTGTTCAGAATGCCTTGTGTACCTGTGAAAGAAGGAGAGTGGATAATTGATAGTGCTAATGATATGACAGGTGACTTGAAAGGTGGCCCAACTGTCATGTAACACTGAAATATGATTTAGTGCTATGTACGATTTAGTGCTGTGTGTATGAGCAAAGCCTTGGTCTCTCCACGTGCTTTCTCTCTGCTCTGGATGAGCTGAAAGGCTGCCAACGCAGCAGTCACCCTGGCTTTCTGATTTAATTTGCAGCCCATTGGCCCAAATGACAATTTGATCTTCTAATACAGTTGTTACCACAGTGCGTGTAATGGGCCATCAAGTTGCTTCTGATTTACAGCAACTCCAGTAGTGTCTTTGAGGTATGTGAGAGGAGAGGCTTATCATTGGCACCCCCCAAGTAAGTTTCCATGGCCAAGGAGGGAGTGAACCCAGCTATCCTGAGTCCTACTCTGACACCATCACACCTCACTAGTTCTCCTGTTAGCACAACAGCCAAAGCCAAATCTTAATCGCCAAAGTACAAATCCAGTAACTTTTTGCTAGGAATGCTGTCATCAGTGTGACCTTTGGGTTTAGTCTTTCACTAAATAGTTTGGGTGTGTCATATATATTAGTTTCAAAGTTAGTATGGAAGGTTAGGGAATATAAGTGGGACTTGAGAGACAGTGTACTGAACTGAATGGAGTAATGGATTTAGGAGACTTGAGTTCAAATCCTTACTCAGCCATAGAAATTCATTAGGGGTAGCAGTGATGAATCCACTCCGTAAATATCTCAAATATCTCATGTACTTTGAAAATGCAGTGAGGGTCACCATAAGTCAGATGTGACATGATGACACACAACACAATTGGGACTTGTCACAGAGTGTTCTTGTTTGGAATGCTTCTGTTTGGATCTCAGACAAACTGCCCCATTCTCCTGTACTTTTTTTTTTGCCTCTGCATCCCAACATTCTGTGGCTGCTGACCATGTCCAGTCTTCATTAGGCTTTGCTTTGCTGCGCTGTACCACTCTTCTTCCAAATTACCGTATTATGGTGGAGGTGTCGCAAGGGATTTTTGCTAAAAAGTTTTCGTATTTCTGCAAATGTTCAGATGCCACTACATTTCTAATTGGTGCTTCTTGTTTATGAAAGGTCATCTTTTGGCCACACAATTTGCATGTGGAAAACAGATTCTCTAGTATGCATGATAATTTGGTTTAGCCTTATTTTCCAACACTGGTCCTGCAAGGTGCCCCACTCTCTTCTGCAGTGCCTCAGCATTTCATGGCTCTCTTTTATTTTTCTCTGTGTATTGCATCTGATTTGCATCAGATTTCCCTATTTCTCTTTCCCACAAAACCAGCTGAAAGGAGAACTCTTTCCGTGGTATTGCTCTCCTCATCCATTACATCCCATTAGATGGGACGTTGCTCCAGTGGTATATTGAGCATGTCAGAAGAGCTCCACTTGCAGTTAATTGCAAGGTTTCTAGAATATAAAAAGGTCATTAGTTGTGGTTCATTGTCCAGTAACAGTAGACAGCTATGTCCAGAATACAGAGCTGTAAGCTAGCTATTCAACATGTTAGAATTATTTTCAGAATGTACTGGAGTGTTATGATATGAGATATATGCATGTTCTTTAGGCTTGTTTTGGAGAATATTCTGGAAGCTCTTGGTGTATCCTTCTTTTAATCATACTTTTGTAACAGATACTAGAAATCTGCCACATCTGTTACAAGCCTTCTGTATCCTTTCATGGTTCTGCATGCATTGAGATGGATGTTCTCTAGTGAAGCCAAAGGAAAATCTGTTGGGAGCCATTAGGCTGTTTGGAGTCATTAGTGCTGCAACTGAAGGAATGACTTTGTAGAGTCTTTAACCTAAACATCTTTTCCCATTTTAATTCAGAGACCATAAAAACAAACTGCAGTTTCTGTGCGGGGACAAAATCTGTTCCACAAAGAATGTGTACCTCGAAGACCTCCTTCCAAAACAAAAATCTGTTTGCACAAAGAATGATAAAGGTCCTGAAGATTGTATTCTTGAAGGCTCTGAAGATTCTGATCCCTGCGTTAGCCCTGTGTGCATAAGAAGGGCTTTTTGCTGTGGCAAAAAGACACGTTCCCCTCCAGACGATGACAGACGCTTGTGCAATGGTGAGATATTCTTCATTAAAGAGGTAAGTCTGTGATCAGTTGATCGTCGTAAGCGTTTTTCTAAAAGGAGAACGTGCAGATTCTTCTTCAGTCTCATATGAAGACACAATATACTTTGTCATTAGTGCAAAGAACTAAGAGTCCTAAAAGGTCATGGCAGATGGATTTTGCCAGGGATGTGTCTTAGATGAAAATTAGGAAAGCTACAGGCTTCGTTAGAGTTGTGGAAGTTGAGGAACCTGTTGATCGGATGTCACACCCCAGTTCCTCAAACAAAGACAGGCATTATTCATACACCTTCCCCTTTAGCCTTCCTTTGAAACTACAAGTTTCTATTTGGTTGAGGAATAGGGTGATGCAAAAAATTTCTGAATCCTCCATTTGGGAACTGGGATGAAAATTTCGTAAATCCACTAGGTTTAGGCAGTTGGGGTCACATTAAAGAGACAGTTACCTTCTCTCATACTTTGTGCCTGTATATCACAGGCCTGCAATGATGGAAATTATGGCAATACACTGTATGAGGGGAAGCCCCCTCCACGTAACTATCGTAAAATATCAGTTCTGAATGTTACTCATTAATGTTGGTCTGAAAAATGGTAGGAGTAAGGAGGAGAGGAAGAATTGATACAAGTATAAGGTCTGCCCAGATGCATGGTAGAATGCTCCATAAGCAAATACTTCTAATACTGAAGAAATAGCATTATAGTATGTCTAGCTACAACTGTTTGCCCATCTCTTCAATATGAAGTGTATAGTTAGGATCTAGGTAACGTGAAAATAATTTCCTTCGTATATGTCTATTTTGTAGCAATGACTGAAATCCAGTAGTAAGTCACAAGTAGGGTAGCCTCCTTGAATCAGTGGAACTTATGGAGGTGTTGAGTTACCAGAATCCCACTGATTCAGTGGTCCTGCTTTAGTTGTGACTTACTACTCTACTGGATTTCAACTAACAAAAGGCAAAGTACAGTTAAGGACTCCGCTGGCTGATTACTATGTAGGTTTTTTTTTAATCTTGGAAAGTGGTATGTTTACAAATTGCATCTATAGGATAAAAAAAGAGATGATGAGCGCATCCTGACCATTAACATTACTGATGGACCTGAGTATACTGTGCTGTATCAAGCTCTCCGGAGAAATTCTAAGATTAAGCACGCTTGGGCAAGAACTATTCATACATTCCAGGTGAGCTATGCTACACATTTGCCATCCTAAGCAAAATCACATAAGCTGTAGTGCTTAACAGTCAAGAGTATCAGATTCATGAAGGAGATGTAGAGTAATTGCCCAATGTGTCTTAGAAAAATGTGTTAATGAGAGCTATTAGACGCTGATTTGGCCGTGCTTGGCACAATATAAAGGTAGAAACTAGCCATCCATTTTATAAAATATAATAGTAACAACAACAACAACACCTTCCAAGGTCTGATGTGAAGTCAGCAGAGATGTAGAAAAATGAGAAGCAAGCAATGATGCATGGCCCTGTTCAAATAGTTTTCAAAAACTTTTGGGGGGTCTTTAGAAAAGCCTGAGGAACTGGATTAGCAGCAGTGAAATAAACTTTTAACTTCAATAGTAGAAATGTTTGTGTAAGGCCACAGGGAGCCTAGAGAATATCCTTGAAGAGCCAATAAGAGTAAAAAGGTTTGAGAAAAGACTGTTTATTCACTGGTGGGGGCAGGATTCCAACAAAGAGTGCAGGTAAGATTCCAAAACCTATGGCTGGGGTTGCATGCAGCATATATAGAAATCAAACAAACTCTCCACAAACAAAACAGACTCACAAAACAGTTGCAAGATTCTTGAATTACTTTGAAACTACTTTATTCAGGAATTCTTTGTCCATATTGTTTTCAGGGTTCCGAGGAAAAAACAGTGGTCTACGTAGTTGGGAACTCGGGTCGCCAGAACTGGCAGCATGTTTACACAGCTGTCACTCGAGGACGCAGCCGAGTCTATATTGTTGCTGAAGAAGCCAAGCTCCAGGCAGCGGTTGCTAGAAAAAGTTTTAGGAGAAAAACCTATTTGTGTAAACATATGAAAGAGGTACTTGTGGGAAAAATCAACAGTTCTCAGCAATCATCATCACCTCAAATGACTCAGCAGAATCAAGAGAATAACACTGGGGACAGTGGTTCTCCTACTAGAAATAATTTTACCAATGAAGAGGAGTCTGTTCTTCCCTGTCAGATGGAATGTGACCATGAACCAGGGAGAACTAATGAAGAGGCTGGTACTTCAGGGGCAACAGCGCTTACTCCAAGTGAACACAAAAGGCGAAGTGAATTTCCAGATGATTGTTCAAGTCCTTTAAAAGTAACTTTGGTGAGAAACCCCTTCTCTCTCTTGCGCTCTTCCCCCCCCGCCAGGATGCTGTGGGTAATAATTCTTTCAATGGGCATTTAAAATTTGTCAGGCGTCCCATTTATGCTCTTGTGAAATCCAAACTTCTTAGTTTCATAATGGAGGTTGCACAGTATGCCTGTCAGAGTGGACCTTGCAACAGCTGGTTCTTTCATGGGCCTTTTAAGATCTGCATTGAGGAGCGTTACTGTTCTTCCTGTCATCTCTCATGTTAGCTGGCCCTTGTATTTTAGAAAAATAACTAAATAGGTGGTAGATTGTAGTATTGAAGTACAGGCATAAAGAGAAATGGGAACAGTGAACAGAAGTGAGCTGATAGACAGAACAAATCTTTTATCTGCTTGTTGAAAAGGGAACATGGTATTTAGCATAGCATTCCATTTAAAATGGTTCTATAGCAAAATATTAGGATAGAATTCTCCTTCACGGATTGCTGCCTTGTCATGATGAAGGGGCTTGAGTCATTCAGAGAAGCTATGGGCTATGAAGTGCAGGGACACCCAAGACGGACATGTCATAGCGGAGAGTTCTGACTAAACGTGATCCACCTGGAGCAGGAACTTGCAAGCCACTCCAATATCTTTGCCAAGAAAAATCCATGGACAGAAACAAAAGGCTAAAAGATATGACGCTGGAAGATGAGCCCCTCAGGTCGGAAGGCATCCAACATGCTACTGAGGAAGAGCAGAGGATAAGT